ATAGCAGTTGTTGTCTAGTACTGTTGTGGTGTTCAGTATTATATGTCCCCAGCCTCCGAGTGTGTTTGTTTCTGCTGTTGTTGTTGTTGTTTCCTGCTTGAGTGTATACGTGTGTGTATGTGTATGTATGTATAAGTTTGTTTGCTGGAGCCTTGTTGTTGTTGTCTGTCTGAGTGTACGTGTGTGTGTGTGTGTGTGTGTGGATAATTGTCTGTCTATAAGTTGTATTTATATATGTATTTGTGTGTGTATGTTTGTTTGTTTATATCGCCATCATCAGCTTGTAACACGTCTTGTAATAGCTTCAAGACCCTCTCATCACCCTAACCCACGCCCATTATCGGGATATTTACATAACATTGTCATTTCTCGGAGTGTAGCTCTCTCTGGTGTGTCGTCAACGAGTGTAATGGTGGTTTGTTTACATCCGGTGATCAGCTGACTATGCCTGTCCAGGGTGTGATTCCTCCCAGTCGATCTCGTCTCATCGCTTCAGCTGATTCTCTGGTGGGACGTAATTCATTCACATCTCTTATTGGTTGCTCGGTTATGAATGACGCTCCCAATCCTAAATACACTGATATTAGTATTTGTAATAGATAGTTTGTGAAGTAGAACAGAAGTATAATACCGTCTTTTAGGGTCAAAGATCAATTAATTTATGACTTTATTTGGGTAGAAAATTTTATCAATGGATGATGAGAAATATAGACTGAGAAAGATAACAAGAGTGTCAACAAAATCACAACAGATCATCAGGTGTGTAATGAACCTGTCCTTTTCACCTGCTAGACAAATGGGTCGAGTCCTAATACGGCCCAACCTAATCTAACCTGACTATTAGGACCAGGGTGCATTAGATAAAGGACCATTAAGACTGGAGTTCGTTAGGACTGGGACCATTAGGACTGGGGCCATTTGGACTGGAACCTTTAGGACTGGGACCATTAGGACTGGGGCCATTTGGACTGGAACCTTTAGGACTGGACCATTTAATCAAACCTCCTGTCTTAACAACATTGTGATGATGGTGTTTCCTCCTACATAGTGAAGGTGAGAGAGGTGAGGATGAGAGTGCGAGAGGTGAGGAGAGAGACTGAGAGAGACTGAGGGAGAGAGTGAGAGAGAGAGACTGTGAGAGGTGAGAGAGAGAGAGACTGTGAGGTGAGAGAGGTGAGGAGAGACTGTGGGAGAGACATGAGGTGAGGAGAGAGACTGTGGGGAGAGAGGTGAGGTGAGGAGAGAGACTGTGAGAGGTGAGGAGAGCAGACTGTGAGGGAGAGAGAGAGAGGAGAGAGACTGTGAGGAGGTGAGGGAGAGAGACTGTGGGAGGGTGGGAGGGGAGAGAGAGGTGAGGAGGAGGAGAGAGGCTGTGAGAGGTGAGGAGAGAGACTGTGAGAGGTGAGGGAGGAGAGGCTGGGTGAGGAGGTGAGGAGAGGCTGTGGAGGTAGGAGGAGAGACTGTGAGGGGTGAGGAGAGAGGCTGTGAGAGTGAGGTGGGAGAGAGGGACACTGAGAGGTGAGGAGAGAGACGAGGAGGTGAGGAGAGGGTGAGAGGGTCAGGAGGGAGAGAGACGGAGAGAGACTGTGAGGTGAGGAGAGGGTGAGGAGGAGAGAGGAGGCCAGAGGGTGAGGTAGGTACAGGGTGTTTCCGGGAAGACGTATTCACTGTGTCTATTCTTACCGGCTCCTCCTCCTCCCCTCCTCCCTCCCCCTCCCTCCTCCCTCCTCAGGCCCCTCCTCCCTCCCTCCTCCTCCTCCTCCCTCCCTCCTCCCTCCCTCCCATCTATCTTCAGGCTTCTAACACACACAACACACACCCTCATCCCCATGGTTTGAACAATCGGAGGAGTTAAATATGTATCAACCTGCTTTGTTTGCCAGATAAGCCTAAGAGGCTCACCTCCTCCCCGGACGCTTGGCATTGAGGGACACGGCAGCTGTAAACACACCTGACACACACACACACACACACGTCTATAAACACTAAAACACGTCTAAACACATAAACACACTATAAACATACACACGTCTATAAACACACTAAACTACGTCTATAAACACACTAAACACTCACGTCTATAAACACACTAAACACTCACGTCTATAAACACACTAAACACTCACGTCTATAAACACACTAAACACTCACGTCTATAAACACACACGTCTATAAACACACTAAACACACACGTATATAAACACACTAAACACTCACGTCTATAAACACATCCTCTTCACACACTACACCCCTTCCCATCCCTTCCCTCCTCTCCTCTCCTTCCCTTCCGCCTCTCCCTTCCCTTCCCTTCCAGTACATCAACACTCCCTTCACCGTCTACTAACACGGGAGGACTCGACCACCAGGACTCCTCAGCCTCATGAACGATATAATCAAGCCACAGGAAGCTCAGGGTATAATTGAACCTGTCTGTACGTCCCTCATGCTGACTGTTTGTGTACAAGGCATAGTTAAAACCCTCCTCCTCCTCCTCCTCCTCCTCCTCCTCCTCTTCTTCTTCTTCTTCTTCTTCTTCCTCCTCCTCTTCATATTCCGGCTACTTCTCATCATTTTCCTCCTTATTTTTCTCCTCCTAACCTTCCTCATCTTCTTCCTTTTCTTCCTCCGCATTTTCTTCCTCCTCCTCCTTCTCTTCCTCATCTTCTTCCTCTTCCGTCTCCTCTTCCTCCTCCTCCCCCCCCCCTACCTTGACACAGTGAAGACTCCTGTTGAGTACTGTATGATAGTTTCAGTGTTAGGGTGTGACGCACTTGGTCTTAACTAACTCGTGGAGGCTGGTAAGATGTGGCTGTACTGTACGTGTGTTTAATGGCCGTCGGTAAATCTAAAATAGGATGTTCTCCTTTCGTGTTTATGTTTACGGTAAACTACGGGTGAAATAGTCAACAATCCCAAGATACCCACAGTTTTAGCTCACCCCTAGTAGCTTAACCCAACTAGACTGTGCCCATTAGGACTTAAACCTCTTACAACTAGGCCCATTAGAACTAAAACCCCTTACAACTAAGAACCATTGCGATTGGGACCTATATAGATTGGAACTCACTCGCTTTATCAGATATATTCGTACAGTTATCAAGATTCGTTTCTCTGTCATCTTAGTTACCTCTGCCATGGTTGGGTTGACGTCCTCCTGGCCTTTGTATCACCATCAGATATCGGATCACTTGAACATTAGACACCAGCTTATTTCACTTCAAGATTAGACACCAGCTTATTTCACTTCAAGATTAGACACCTCAGCTTATTTCACTTCAAGATTAGACACCTCAGCTTATTTCACTTCAAGATTAAACATTTCAGCTTATTTTACCTTGATATTAGGCACCAGCTTATTTTACATACCTCAGCTTATTTCACATTAATATTAGACACCTCAGCTTATTTCACCTCAAGATTAACCACCTTAACTCCAGGGTAGCGTTAGGGTGTTTATTCATCAGGTGAAATACACTGGGGTCATTAATCTTCAGGTGATCCCAGATAACCAGCATTAGAGCCACTGTTTAGCTGTGTGACGTACTGTACGCAGGAACCCGTGTGTGTATGTGTGTGTGTGTGTGTGTGTGTGTGTGTGTGTGTGTGTGTGTGTGTGTGTGTGTGTGTGTGTGTGTGTGTGTGTGTGTGTGTGTGTGTGTGTGTGTGTGTGTGTGTGTGTGTGTGTGTGTGTGTGTGTGTGTGTGTGTGTGTGTGTGTGTGTGTGTGTGTGTGTGTGTGTGTGTGTGTGATAAATAATAATAATAATAATTAACGGTTTATTGAAAGAGCTTGGCAGCCAGAAGGCTGAAAATATACAGTTACATAATTGGGGAATGGGTTTCGAATTACAAATAATATACAAATAACATAAGTGATATAAATAAGATATATAATAACTAGATGGGGAAAAGCTCAAACTACAGGGCATTTCAACATAGTGACAGTGCAAGAAGTAGTATTTACTGGGAGTGAATACACTGGTTTATTACAAGTTATTGATAATTTTTACAATGGTTGGGACTGGGCTGTTCTTATAGCGATCAGTTCGTGCACGTATGGGCTGGATGCGGTTGTGGTGTCGAACAGCAATTCTCGGACTAGGGATCTCAGGTGGTAGTAGGAGCCGGTGTCGAGGATGGTGTAGAAGCTTCTTACCAAATTTGCAGATGAGGTCGTGGTGATGGTCAGTGAGAGTCGAAAGGGTCAGTGTGTTGAGCGCTTCTTGATATGTGGAGTAGGAAGGGGAGAGAATAATCTTGCATGCCCTCTTTGCACTTTTTCTAGGTGTTTACGTTGTGTGGCATTTAGGGAGGAAGACCAGGTAGGGGAGGCATAGGTGAGCTTGGGAAGTATGAATGTTGAGTAAACACTGAGGAGCTCGGGTGCAGGAACTCCGAGGGACTTGAGTCGGCGGAGGAGGTGGAGACGGAAACTGGAGGATTTGACAACTTCACTGACGTGTGGTTTCCAATTTAGTTTGTTTTCTATGGTGACGCCGAGGAGCTTCGTGTGTGTGTGTGTGTGTAAGAGAGAGAGAAAAGGATTAATTATCTTTTCATTGATAGTTATAAGTTATTCAGCGTGAAGGTTAGTCTGTCTGTTGTCAATTATAGCTCACCCCGGCGTCTGGTGTGTGGGTGTAGGCGGCTGGGTTCCAGATGCTCAACTGTTTGTTTACGTGGAGGGGGTAACTCCGAGTGACGTCATTACTTCTTAGCCTGCACCAAATTTATGATAAACAGATTGATTTTTGGTTGTATATTCTAGCGAACTAAGATGTGTTTAACTTTGGACGTTAATCATCGCTCTTTTTAACATAAAGTTCAAGAGAAAATCGTGTTTACCGGCGTAATTTCTATTTTAGGAACTGTTTCTGAAGTTGTGTATCTTTCATAAGTTTATTGTCTTGGTACAGGATCATCATCACTGTCATTTGTACGATTGTTATTAAATGTTATTCGTCTGTATGTATATCACCACTGACTTCCTCCCTCCCGCAGGATGCTCGGGGTCGGGACGAGTGTGGTAGTGGTGACGGCGACGCTGCTGTTGCGAGAGGCGGCTGCTGTCGTCACTTGTCCTGATGCTTGCTTCTGCCTCTCCGACACCAAGGTGAGTTACCTGACTAATTACAAAACAAATTACAGTCGAAAGTTTAATGATTTTTTAGGGGTCAATTATAGAGGAAAGACTGACACTTACACCTTGAGTTATATAACACATTGACCCTTGAACTATATAATTATATCACATGACTACAAGAGCTAGGAAGCACCAATACGCTCTAAAGGTCAAATAAGGTCAAATAAAGGTCATAGATAGACTGAAAAAGAAACACAAGTAACGTCAAAATAATATTGCCTCACCTACTGACTTAACTGAAACATTAACCAGACTTTTACAACTTTAATGTCTCTCTTGGTCTGTTTTCTCTCACTTCTGAATGGTCTCGTGTTTGATAACGAGTCAGTGAGTTTATAGTACTAAGGAATAAATCTGAGGTGTTGTCGTGTTATCTCCGTTATCGAGAGGCTTTGACGCGCGGGGCATTAGTTATATGCCCCTGGGATAATGCCTTCCTGGGTACTGGGTGGGAATTGAATGCACTCTGGATGAAATAAATGTTCAGTTCTCACGTTACCTGAGCGAATGTTTGTGGTCCTCGTTAATAGTTGCGAATTACGCTTGTGCTTTAGTTTATAAGTTCCTTTTTTTCGTTAATAGTTTGTTGCTGTACTTACTTTTCCTCGTTAGTAGTTGATGTATTTTAAATTTTAAAATATGCCCCCCCCCCCAAAAACAAAAATATACACCTCCAAAAAAACAAAGAGTAAAAAATTGTCGCAGAAAAAAAAATCTTCCCCGCGACGCCTCAATACTCGGAGTCATGAATCAAGGGAAACTGGGCTGTTCTTCACCTAGGTGTGCGCTATGAGACGAGGCAGATAATGGCCTTCAGGGTGACAGCTCGCGACTCTCGGGGCGGGGGGAGGGGTCACGGCGGCACCTCAGCTGATATTACCTAACCACTAAGATGGATGGTGACCCCCTGTAGCTGCCTTGCGTCTCACTTCTGGATGAATACGCATTATTTTTCCTCCTCCTGCTTTATTTATTGCTGTAAGCTGTCTGGCGGCCGGAAAGCGTCTCAAGCGTTCACACTCAGGCGTATAAATATTGCGAAGACGATCTCTTGGTTAAGGCAGTAGTATATGTTACACTTTTAGAGGCTGGCATTCGCCTGGCGTTGTGAGACTGTTTTACGTTAGGCGCAAGAAATTCTTTACACGTATAGCTCTCTTGTGTCTGAAGAATAAAAATAGAGGAAGAAAATAAGTAAAGAAGGAGAAGAAAAACCGAGAGAAGATGCGGGAAAAAAGAGGAAATAAGAGGAAGAAGAACAACTTACCACTAATAAATGAAGTGGGGGATCATATTACACCGAAGCGAAGTGTTTATGAATGAACTACAATACCCCGTTTATGTATGGAGGAGCTACCATTGTTTACGTTGTGTGTGTGTGGCCAAGGTAGTACCCAGGTGGTGGCCATTGTTGTGTGGTGTGGCGGGGAGATTAATGCGGTAAGTTACTGTCCCTGGCTAAGTTTCTGGGAGTTACAATAATATGTTGATTATCGCCGTCAAAACAATTGGTGACGGTGGGTGGAAAACTCTGTGTCTGCATACTCACAGGGGCATCTCATCATCCTTCCTCAACACACACACGGGCTTACGGAAACAAGTGTAAACGTTCTCTAGGTCTCCCTGCCCACCACCACTCAACGCCCTTTTTTTTGTAGAGAAAGGAGGGGTGAAAGAAGATTAGAGGTGGGGGAAGGAAGTTATAGTTCGGAATTTGAAGAAATTTAGGAGGAGGTAAGAGAGGGCGGGCTGACCGCCTAGCTAAGCTTATGGTGTGTTAGGGTTGTGTCATGGGTTAGTTATTGTCTGTCGGTACAGGCACTAGACATCCTACCCTGTCCCATATATGGGTGTTTTAAGGACCTTATTTCATATTCCGCCGACGCTACTGGCGGATGCTGGTCTAGGGAGGTTGTCTATTGCCTGGCCGTGTAGATCGGGAGTGGTAATGGACCTTTTGAGATTTGGTGACTTTTTGGGAACCATGTATGGTTGTTGTCGTTATCTGGTGGGAGTCTTTGAAGGAGTTCTTGCTCTGATCGTTCTATCTTTTGCCAGATTCTGCTGGCCAGGGTGGGCAGCTGCTGGTTGGTGGGTTTTATTCTCAGGTCTCTATGTATCTCGGCTGTGGTTTTGGTGAAGGGGTATCTTTCACCTGTGACGAATCTTAGTTCTTCATTTTGGACCACCTGTAATTTTAATATTTGAGTGATGCTCATAGTAGTTTAGGTCAGCACCTGGGTGGGGCGGCAGAGCGGGGCAGCTACTGGGTGGGAGAGGGGGTGAAGGGGCGGCTATTGGGTGGGAGAGGGGGGCAGCGGGCGGACAGGAAGACTTGTATAGATAGAGAGTTGGATGAGCGGCTGGACTATTAGGTGAATAGGTGGCCAGGGTGGCAGATTGTCCTATAAACCACTCACTTCCCCCTCCACACCACTCACCACCCCCTCACACCACTCACCACCCCCTCACACCACTCACCTCACACCACCTCACTACCCCACATCACTCACCACCTCACTCACCACCTCACACCACTCACCACCTCACACACTTACCACCTCACACACCACTCACTCTCACACCACCACCACCCCCTCACACCACTACCACACCACTGTTTCCTCACCACTTGTTTTCACCCTCACACTTACTGCCTCACAGAGCCACTCACCACCCCCTCAACTATGTCTTGTATCTCAAAGGGACCTGTAAGGTAAACTGTATGTCTGAAGGGTAGCTGTAAACTGGCGTATGTCTGAAACCTAACTCTGTGGTAAACTTTCTTCATTACAAAAAATAAAACTGGTTTTCCATTCAAAAATCAAACCTGCATACCTCCTCCCGTGACAAACTGGTTTAATCCCTGAAAAGCCACCTCATGTACTTCTTCCCTCTAGCCATTAAGCCAAACGGGGGAATGTGTGATCCCTGTCATCGATTACCTAGCCGGCGACAATTAAGCCATCGTTCTCAAAGGGTTAAACCAATGTCCATAAAAGGTTAAACCAATGTCCATAAAAGGTTAAACCAATGTCCATAAAAGGCTAAACCATTATCCTCAAAGGCTCCAAAGTTGAATAGTCCCTTTAACTGTAGACTGAAGGCCCTTAACTGCCTGACCTAAGTTAAAGTGATACCCTAAACTGGGTATCACTTAAGGGACAAAATTAACTCTTTCTGAATTCTGACCCACACCCTTAAGTGGATTAATTTGGTCACTTAAGGGGTGCGGCGTTTGGTGTTGGTTTACAGGTCTTGTTGGAGCCGTATGATATGTGAGGTCGTGCGAGGTATGTGAGGTCGTGCGAGGTTATGTGAGGTTGTACGAGGCTATGTGAGGTCGTGGGAGGTTATATGAGGTCTTGTGAGGTTGTGTGAGGTCTTGCGAGGTTATATGAGGTCGTGTGAGGTTATATGAGGTCGTGCGAGGTTATAGGAGGTCTTAACAGGTTACATGAGGTTATGTGAGGTGGTGCGAGGTTATATGAAGTTGTGTGAGGTTATATGAGGTCGTGCGAGGTTATATGAGGTCGTGCGAGGTTATATGAGGTCGTGCGAGGTTATATGAGGTCGTGCGAGGTTATATGAGGTCGTGCGAGGTTATATGAAGGTTATATGAGGTCGTGCGAGGTTATATGAGGTCGTGCGAGGTTATATGAGGTCGTGCGAGGTTATATGAGGTCGTTCGAGGTTATAGGAGGTATTACGAGGTTATATTAGGTTGTGTGAGCACGTGCGAGGTTAGATGAGGTTGTGCGGGGTTATATGAGGTCATGCGAGGTTGTGAGAGGTCGAGGCGGGAGGTCAGACAGGGGACGCTTGACCCGGCAGTACCACACGGTTTACTAGTTGATAGCCAGACTTTACTGCCCACCCTCCCTTCCTCATTTACATACTGGTCTTGTGTAGTGGAGCCGGACGCTGTGTTGTGTAGGGGGGGTGTAGGGGGTGTTGGTGATGTGTAGGGGGTGTGTAGAGGGTGTAGGGGGTGTGTGGGGAATGTTGGTGTTGTGTAGGGGGTGTATGGTTGGTGTAGTGTAGGGATAGTGTAATGGGTGTTGTATACAAGGTGTATCGAGCTTCATCTCTGACTGATCTTGATTTACTTTTCATCCTACACAGAAGTACCAATCGGACCTGAGGAATTTAATCCGTTTTTTTTAATGACAAAATATTCTTAACAAATGCCACCAAGTATTTTTACATCACTCTAAAAGAATTTTCAAGAAAGTAATTCCTAACTAAATCATCCATTGAGTATATTACGTGATTGATAATATTTGCAGAGACCAATTTGATGACCTCGGAGTTGCCTGACCCACAAGTCTCTTAACTCACTGTGAATAACGACTGTATGTAAATGAGTAGACCGCACGGCGTCACCGAAGGAGCTTTGATGAATGCCCTAACATTCTACTCTGAACTTTGCCACTTCAGGAGGTTCCAGTGACTTGTAAAACCTCGGTAGCTTGTTTGTTTTATTTGTTTTCCTTGTTTGTTTGTTTGTTTGAAGTAGTTATCAGCCTCTCGTGGTGTGACTAGGTGTTGGATCTGTACACGATATCTTCTTCTCTGACTCACTACGGTCGTGATGGGTAACTTACTGGCAAGATTTCACTGTGAAATACTGTGATAGGGTATATACCCCTCCCCCCCATAGGTGTTGTGTAGTGGGAGTTATGTAGGGGTGTTGTGGGGGGTGGTTGATTTTGTAGGTGATAGTTAAAGGTGTTGGTTGGTTGGTTGGTTGAGTGTATAAAGTAGTGATTGCAGGTGGTGTTGGTGATGTAATGGGGTGATTAATTGCATAGTAGATAGTTGATTATGTAGACTGTAGTTGGTACTGTTGTGCTGGAAAAGTTATGTAGTAAACAAAAGATTAATATCACTGTATGTTCCCCAAAAGCCTTCCATGAACTCTTGACAATCCACACCTATGAAAGCCACACGATAGACCACATACAACC